CGCCACTGCGATGACGACAACGACGACGACGACGATTTTGACGACGATTTTGATGACGATGACACCGACGACGACCACGAAGGCGGCGGTCGGGCGGTGCCCGCAAGGCAGCCGCAGCGGTGGGCTGCCACGGCGCCAACCGCAGCGCCCGTGGTAGCCTGGGCAGCGCCTGCAGCGGCTCCTTCGGCTCGACAAGCTCAGCGGACGCGCGCCGGGCGTTGGCGTCGTCGTCGCCATAGTTGTCGATTTCGTCGCCGTCGACCTCGTGGTCGCCACCGTCGTCGCCGCTGTCAGGGAGGGCGTGATGCGATCGTTGCCGTCGTCGTTGCGGTAACTCAACGACGACAGCATTGGTCACCACCGCGTCGACGACGGCGACGTCGACTTCGACGACGGCGGCGACTATGACGTCGTCCTCGCCCTTGTCATAGTGCTGTCGTCTCAGTCGTCGTTGCTGCTGTGGCCGCCATAAGGATAGGACGAGAGGGGGGGGAGAAAAACGAACGGGAGGAGGAGCAGGAGGAGGAGGAGGAGGAGGAGGAGGTGGAGAAGAGCCACGTTGCCCAGAAAACGTGGCAGAGCGCCAGCCCTAGGGGGCCAGCCTCGATCGAAACCTGTTGTTCCCACGCACCATCTCTACATTCCCGACACCCTTTTCACCTTGCACATATCTTGCAACTCGTTCTATTACATCTCGTTTCGGGGGAATGAGGCATCACGGCTACGACCTCAGCCAATCCAGCGTGGCATCGACGGCTTCGTGAACAAAGAGCTGAAGCCGCGTTTCCTTACGAGTCGCCGCTGCACGCGAACCCTTTGACCACGGCATCCAGCACAAGCTCCACACAGCACGCCAGCGACTCTCTGCGCGCAACATCGCACAACCGCCACCGCGACATCCAGCTCAAGTTCTAAGCATGACGACATCATGGAGTGCAGCCGCGAGCGGATCGGGAACGGCAGTACCACCGTGAAGGTCCACATCGAGCCGCCCACGAAGCAGGCCAACTACGCCAAGATCCACGAGACAGGCATTTGAAGCGGGCCTCGCACGCTGGGAAAACCACAACTAAACGAACCAGTAGGCCAAGGAGCATCCTGAAAAGAATTGGCAGCTATAACAGCCACATCCACAACGGCCAGGGCAGCAGCCACAGCGATGAATACAGATTGCGAAAGACGACGTCGAAACAAACCAGCAACCCGACAGCGAGAAGCAGAACACGAAGAAGGACGACACCCAGAAGTACAGGAGGAGAAGGAGGAGAAGGAGGAGGAGGAGAAAGAGGAAGAGGAGGAGGAGGAGGAGGAGGAGGAGGAGGAGGAAAAGGAGGAGGAGGACGAGGAGGGAGAGGAGGCCGAGGAGGATGAGGGAGTGAGCAAGGACGGAAGCGCGGCACCGCAGGACAGCGCGGAGGCCAGCGCGCCCTGCAGGACACCGATGTTGCCACAGGCGGCCTTGCCTCGTGGTTTTTGTTTTCTTCCTCGTTGTCGCTGACACGGTCGTCATCGTCGCTGACACGGTCGTCATCGTCAGCGGCAATCGAAGGGGGGGGGAATGGGAAGGCGATTGCCCTCGTAAAATTCAGCGGGGCTTCTCAGAAGCCCTCCAGCCTGACAAGTTTCCCGTGTCTTCGGGGAACAAGTCAGTAAAACTCGCGGAAGGCCAGAGGACTTCCGAACCTCCTGAGGAGGCCCGCCCCCTCTCGCTTCCCCCCAGGTTCGCCGTTTAGACACGGTCGTCATCGTCGAGCGGATCCCCCTCAACAGCGATTCTCGGACCTGTCCAGTGGTTCGAGGAAGCGCAAGCATGGTTACGGTGCATGGATTTGTGGCGGGTCCCGCTTCAGTGCAGAATCGGCGTGTTCTGTCGCCAAGTCTGTCTGTACAGGCTTCGTGTTTCGGGCCATACTTTTCCCGATCCGTGGATTTGGCGCCCACGCGCACGCGCCAGATCCACTGATCGGGTGCGCGCCCGCGTGGTGGGCGCTGACTCGGGTCTCGAAGGGAACCGAGCCGCGGCCACGTAAAGCTTCGAACCCTTTCGAAGTCGCAGTTGCCGCCACCGCCATCGTCGTGCCTCCACGGCGGAGGTCATCAGTTCGCTCATCGGCACGAGGAAGCTGCCGGAGACACGCCGGAAGAGCAGCGCCCACGCGGGCCCGCACCAGGCGCGCGTTGCCATGTCGGCGGTGCCGCCGTCGCCGTCGCCGCTGGTCGTCGCGTTCTCATCGTCGCCGCCGCCGGTGGCAGCGCCGCCAGTCGTCGAGGCATCAGCGTCGTTTTCGCTCGTCGAGTCGTTGTCGCCGTTGCTGCTCGTCACGTAGTCAATATCTCCCGTCACGTCATCGACAACAGTCGTCGTCAATGTCGCCTCCTCTCCTTGTCCACTGCGCTCTTCCCTGGAGACATGGTCTGGAATGAGGATGAAGAGAGTGCGGCAAAATGCGGCCCGCCAGCCCTGCAACGGCAATCTTTCCTCGGAGCAATTGCGTAGTGCCGAGGTTGTGCGACCCTGTCACCCCCTTGAGGGCGCCGAGGCTCTTGCACCTAACCCGCACGCGATAGCGCCAGTAGAAGTGCGAACGAAGTGGAGTTCGAGTTGCTGTCGGTACCGCTCTTGTGAGGAGTTGGTTATTCCAGGAGTTTGTCCGAGTTCGGAGGAGGGGTGAGACGGAATTCACCACATTCAGGATACTGGTTTCGGTTTCGATTCGCGCTGCGCGTCCGGGCGAGGCGAGGTTGCGCGAGGGCCGAAAGGACTTGGCCTGGCCAGGAGCATGTCACGTCGGACTATCCCCCCCACGTGCCCGGCACGTATGCTCTACGGATGCGCTGTGCGCCAAAATCTGGGCCGCGCGCGGGCGCCCTGTGATCATGGGCTGATGAAAAGGACGGTGGCGGCGCCCTCACACTTCCCGTTCTGCGCAGGCCCACGATGCTTGTCAACACACAATGCGAAGTATTGTGGCACATTTGGTTCATGCGCGGCCCCCCCACGATCATGCTGCCTTGGTCTTTGACAGAGGGGCGGCAAGGGAGGGGCACATATTGTCTGCTCTGCGTCGGCCTCCCAATGCTCCGAGCTCCCGGGGCCCTCCAGAAGCTTCCAGACGAGGCCAGAAGCCTGGAAAACCAATGAAACAACAACAGCAACAACAACAACAACCCGTTTACCCTCCTGCGCGATGCATCCCACACGAAGCATGCGACCATCATGATAACCATCCCCATCACGGGGGATTATTGTTTTATATCGGGGTCCGTTATTCCCATTCCCAGATCTCCCGCTCAATGAGGTCTTGCAAGCACCTCCTCCGAGGAATTCTAACATATCCCGCCTCGGAAACGCATGCCCGCGCCTTGCTGCGCCGATGCGAGACCGCCAGTGTCGCCCCAGCCAAGGGTAAAGCACAAGGAAGTATCGAGCGACAGGATTGACTTGGTGGGGATGGGGGCTGTCGGCGGCGAGGCGAGGGCCTGGCCCTGAATAGAAAGGGAGGAAGTATCGAGCAGGGCCGCTGTTGATGCCGGGAGCGGCGTCAATGCTGAACAGAGTAGCGCGTTAGTCCAGCAAAACAAAACGAAGTCTCGAGCGGGAATGCTAATTGATTGGGACGTCGGTTGTCGGCGGCGCGGAGGAACACCGCCTTGAGTAAGAAGGAAGTCTCGAGCGGGAGCCGTGGTTTTGTCGGGGCCAGGGCTGTCGGCGGCGAGGTACTGCACAGTCCTGAGGAAAAAGGGAGGAAGCCTCGAGCGGGAGCGTTATTCTTGCTGGGAGCGACGCCAATACAAAAGAGAGTATCCAGCGTAAAACGGGAGGAAGTCTCGGGCGGGAGCGCTGGCTTTGTCGGGTCGGCGGTTTTCGACGGCGAGGAGGAACACCGCCTTGAGAAAAAAATTGGAGGAAGTCTCGAGCGGGAGCGTTGTTGTTGCTCGGGCGGCGCCGATGAGAGAAAGAGTAGCGCGTCAAACCAAGGTAACACGTGAGGAAATCTCGAGCGGTAGCGCTGGTTTTGTTGGGACGGCGGCTTTTCAGCGGCGGGCAAGAGCACCCCCTGAGTAAAAAAAGGGGAGCTCTGGAGCGGGAGCGTTGCTGTTGGGGGGCCGGATGTGGCGCCCCCCCAAGCCGCTCGAGCGTGAGCCTCAGTTTCAATGAGATGTAGCCGGCACCGAGGCGAGAACGTCAAAGCGCGTGGGGGGGCTCCAACAACAATAACTGTTTAGTACTTAGGGTAACATTCAACAGCAATAACAACAACGACAACGACAACGACAACGACAGCAACAACAAACACATTCATTCTCGGTGGATCGAAAGCAACAACCAACCCAAAGCGCAGATTCGAACATACAACACAGCAACATTGGTTCGGGATTATGTGTGGGCACGCGGCTTCAAGGGAGAACGAGTTGTAAGTTGGTGCGAGTGCACCGGGCTCCCCCATTCTCATTGAATACTCGGCCATGCACTTCCGAGGGGGGCTGAATTTATGAACTCATTGGAATCAGGGCCCTAGGCTGGGTGCTGCCTATATGTGCGGATGGCGGATTGGAGCGAGCGATGGGATCCCGATTCCCCAATCGTGACCCCCCGTCATAGCCCCACATCGTCACCCCCATCCTGGCCCCATCGTAGCTGTGTAAAGTTGTTTCGGCAGTTTTGCCGCAAGGATGTCATTTCTTTTCGGATGTGGTGCTGTTCAGTGGCGTCACGCAAACGGGGGTGGCGCGAAAGGGGTCGCATTCTGAGAAGGCAGGGGACTTCTTAGAAGCCCGACTGCTTTCCGAAAAGCCTTCATCGAAGCCTCCAGACTCTGTTCTGCCGTCGTAGACAGCAATTTGTTTTTTTCGCCACAGCTCTTGTACTCGCCGCCAGTTGAAGCCTGACGCTTGAAATAAGGTCCTCTTCGGTCTCGGAAGGGACTCGGGGTCCCCTGGGTCTCTCAGACATCTGGGTGTAAAACAAGGGCTAACATGGGTTTCGCTTACATCAGGTACGTCTCTATATGACAAGACCTCGGCTGTACCCTTGTGCTGGTCTGTAAGATCCTATATATGATTGGTCCCTGGCTTAGTTGCCTCGATACGCGCGTTTTGAAACGCAATACGTCCCGTGTTCAAGACGTCCGTGTCAATACGTTGCGTGTTGGTTCCACGTATTGGACAATGTTTTGGCGAATGTATTGCGTCGGACCTACATTTTCAGCCTACGTGCTGAGTCCGTATGGATACGGTACGTGTTGCGTGTTGCGTATCGGGGCAGTTAAGGTCCCTGGGTGCCTCTGCTGCTTGCTCTCCCCGTCATGCAACTCCAATTCAAATGCCCGGATCCAGCCGGATCCTCCACAGGTCAGGCGGGGGAGTTCGCAAAGAACATGCCCGTTCCGCGCGTCTCGGGACCTGGGCCGTAGGGCTGCCCCTCTCCGTGGCGTAGGCATGAAACAAGTACCAGGGCCAGGTCCAGGGCCAGGTCCCTTCGGGGCCCGTTTGCACCATGATCCGCACGCTTTATGCCACCATGAGTGGCAGAGCTGGGAGAAGATGGAGGAGGAGGAGGAGGAGGAGGAGGAGGAGGAGGAGGAGGAGGAGGAGGAGGAGGAGGGGGAGGAGGAAGGGGAGGAGGGGGGGGGGGGAGGAGAGGAGGGAGAATAGGTGGAGGAAGTGGAGGAAAAGGGGGATCAGGGGGAGGACGAGGACCAGAGCTGCCCGTCTCCAGGCTGGCTGCGCCCGAGCGCGACACCGATCGCGCCCCGCGTTCCGCGCAGCGCGAAAGTATAGTTAAGTCGTGCACGTCCCTCTACACGAGGAAAATTCAAAAATAGTAAAAAAATAAACTTCGGATGCTTGTTGGTGCTATTTTTCATTTTTCATTCGAAGTCCGCCTGTAGGGGGACATGCCCGAGCCAGAGCTATAGAGGTTATGTCTGGTGCTTCGGATTCGACCCCAGGACCCCTCCAGAGGCTCATGCTGAGCTGGATTTCGAGGTCCTGTGTTCTTTGTGTTTCCTCTCCCTTCTTCCTCCTCCTCCTCGTCCTCCTCCTCCTCCTCCTCCTCCTCCTCCTCCTCCTCCTCCCCCTCCTCCTCGCATGGCATTGTTTAGCAGGCACATTGGTCGTGAACGCTTGAGCTTAGACTTGTCCCGCCTACGCGCCGGACGGCGTGTGGCCAGTGCAGTGCATTGGCCACCCAGACGTCGTGATGAGAGCACCCACAGAGGTCCACCGCGGCGCCCCAGGGCGGCCCGAAGCCACGATCCTCTGCTCTCGACCGCAGGCTCTCCGCAGGAGCTCCGCCAGAGGTCGCCGCAGGAAGCGGGAGGAGGCCGAATTCGGGTGGTGGTTGTCCGTGTGCCGAACACGGGTGGTGGCTGTCCGTGTGGGAAAGACAGCGGCCCTCGATTCTCAAGGACTGGTGGTCGCAGCACTCACAGAGGCCCATCATGCCTTCCCCAGAGCGGCCCAAAGCACAGACCTACCCGTGACTTCCATCCTCTGCTCACAACCGCAGAAGCCCCGCCAGAGGTGGCCGCAGGCTGCCGCAGGACGCCGAACACGGGTGGTGGCTGCCCGTGTGGAAAAGACAGCGGCCTTCGATAGGGGGCCACATGCGAACCCTACCCCATACCCCCCACGATTTCTGAGGGGGAGGGTGGGGTTCACGTCGTTCGGGAGCTCCCAAACGAAGTGAACCCCACCCTCCCCCTCAGAAATCGTGGGGCGTATGGGGTAGGGTTCGCATGTGGCCCCCTACTCGATTCTCCAGGTCTGGTGGTGGTCGCAGCCAGGATCTCTGGATCAACTCCTGGTCGGGCTGCGCCGCGCAGAGGTCTCCTTCGCGCACGTCCTGCCGGCCGCGCACTGGCACACCGACCAGAACTGGCAGGTCAAGTGCGAGGAAGCCCTGCGGCCCCTGGCCCCGTGCGGCACCAGAGTTTTTGAAGCTTCGGAGGGTTGTGGTCCTTGCTTCGGAGGTTGACAGACCTCCTACCCTGACCCTGTCCACCGCCGATTGCTCTTCATGTTCCTCATGCTTCTCATCCCTCTGTAAGGCCTTCTGGAGGCCTCCCGCCGAACGGGCCTGCACCTCCAGAGACTTCCAGGGGTCTTCGGAGACCTCCCCCCTCAGACAGGGATATTCAGAGACCTCCTCCAAGCCCTCGACCTCCACCTTCCGCGCCTTGCTGTAGCTGATGGCGACAGGCTGCCTGAAGGCCTAGACGCTCTCGGCCGAAGGCTGAAGGAAAGTCGGAGGTTGGGGAGTGAGATCGCAGTGGAAGGGAGGGCTCCCTCACCGGCCAATCGGATTCGGTTTCGTGTTCGTGCCGTGCGTGCGGACGAGGTGAAGCTGCGTAGGCGCGCGAGCAGAATGACCCCGCCGTCGCTAAGCGATTCGGACGCAACGGACCGCGCCTCCGCCCCTGGTGGGCGCGCCCTGTCCTGGGGTGTCCCGCCGTGGTGTCTTGTGGTGTCCCGTTGGTGTCTCGTCGGTGTTCTGTCGTCGATGGGCGGGCGGTGGCTGCGGGTGTCCCGCCTTAGTATCGATAGTGCGGTCGATAGTCAGTGATATTGATCATGAGATCGCTAAATTGGGATCGACAGTGAGATTGGTTATAACATTCGTTGTGAGATCGGTCGTGATATTGTCATTGGATTCGATCTCAAAACCGATAGTGAGATCGAACGCGAGATCTGCAGTGAGATCTGCAGTGCGATCTATGGTGAGATCGATTGTGAGATCTATAGTGTGATCGATCGAGTGTGTTCGATCCTGTGAGGTCGATAGTGGGATCGATCGTGTGAGATCGAAAGCGGTGACGATCGTGACATTACATCGCAGCGTAACATCGTCACACGCGTCGTCGCTAACTCGAGGGCGCGTCACCAGCATCGTCATCATCACACCCCTCGCATTTGCCATCAGTTGGTCCTCTTTCACCCCACCCCCCAACCTCCTTCTCACCCGAAGAGCTGTCGTATGTTATTAGTAACTATAGGGCTAATGAGAAACAGCCCTAGAGCAGCCTCGTGGCCACCCCAGGGCGAAGTCAAGTGTGAACCGCCCCGCATGGCAGCTCGCAGCCGAGGAGGAGACTGCGGCCTCCGCACTTCCGGGCCCCCGTCAGTGCGCAGGGAGCGCAGGGGGGAGGCCCCCAAGAGTCAGGGCTATCACCTTTGCGCCGATAAGACATGATAAGGGCACGCTTCGGTGCCAGCGGGAATTAAGTTTACGCGTCAGATTTGGGTGAGCCCCAGAAGAAGATGGCGACGACGAAGACCCCGCGTAACACAAAGCACCCCCCTTCTCAGTTGCAACCCTACGCAAGCCGCCTCGGCAGATAGCAATGGCGGGTTCCGCGCACCTTCTACCCAGGCTCCCCCCCGGAAGGGATCCAGCAATCAGGTGTCGGCAGAATTCGCACACCAATGCCGTAAACTAAGACAGGGCGCAGGGAGGACAAGAACCGCCAATGTACCCCCTGCGCAAAGGAGCCCAGCGCGCCGCACGGCTCCTCCCCCAATGGCCCGGGACCCCAAATCCGGAGTCTCTACGGCAGGCCCTCCTCTGGCCGCCAACGACAGGGCAAAGCCCCAGTCCTTGACACGCAGTGGAGGCAAGGGCCGTCTCCGGATGCCGCTGAGCGGCTCTGTAGACACCGCGCTGCGCACAGCCCCGGCCCTCCGCAGGGGCTCAGGGGGGTGGGGCATTGGCGTGCCTGCCCGCGGCCGCTCAGCTTGCGCCGAGGAGCCGCACGTCCCAGCTGCCCAGGGCGTTCCCACCTTCCGCACCTGCTTGCAGTTGTAGGTGACAGGCTGCCACTGGCCCGCTGGCCAGGACACCAACGGCCAGAGGTCGAGAATAGTAGTGGCAGGTGGGGAAGATGCGACTCTTGGCCCGGAGGGCTTGCAGGCCAGCGCGGCGGGGCGGCCGCAGCCCCGAGGGGCATGCCAACATATGGCGAAGGCCTTCCAGCCGGTGCTGCCGACCCTAAGGGGGACGACGACGCCCCGAAGGGCGTTCCCACCCTTGGTTTCCTCCTTCCGCACCTTGCGGACGGCAGTTGCCGCGCAGCGGCCGCTGCCAGCGCGGCCGCAGAGGCGGCTGCTGTCGAGGCCGCAGCGGCGGTCTCGGCGGTCGCCGCGGCCGCGCCGCGGCGGCATTTGCTGCGCGGATGGTTCGGAAGGTGGAAGTCCGGGGCAACACATGGACAGTCCAGTTGACTGTCCTTCCGTCGCCCTCCCCGTCCAGGACCTGAGGGCCCGCATCGCCTCGCTCTTCAACTGCCACAACCTCAGCGACGTCACCTTCGTGCTCGAGGCCGGCCGCCCATTTGGCATGCACGGGCCCTCGCCTGCGAGAGGTTCGCAGATTCGCCCGCCCTTCGCCGGAGGCTGTGCGAACAGCCCCCCTCAGGCGTTCCGTCACGAGGGGCGGTGAAACAGGGGGGAAGTTAAATACAGGTTCTCCCTTCGTGCACCTCATGGGGCACGAACAGTGCAAGTCTCTTCACCCCCTATGTATCGCCCCCCCCCATCAAGCAACGCCCAACCCTTATCGCCTCGAGGATAGTGGGTCTTGCTGCCACTAAACGCCACGCCTGAATTGATTCGGAATGCGGGCTGTTGTCAGTAGGCTCTGGGGGGTACGCGTCGACCCCCAATCGCCCACTGATCGCAGATAGGGGCCTGATGGCCCACCCCGCCCAGAAGCGAGTGGGCCCGCTATTGGGGGCCATCGCCGATCTACTGGCAATGTATCGCCGATTCCAGCTCGATGCTCCCTCCCACCTCGTTGCCCGTCAGGTGGTGTCAGCGTCGTTCTGTTCACAGGCCCGCCGCTCCGCGCAGTGAGTCAAGATTTCGGAGTTCCGTTCGCAGGAGAGGTCCGTCGGGGCTGCAGGGGCGTTTCCGCCGCGGGCCACCCGTGCCCCCGGTCGGCTGGGAGAGACTCGCGAAGACAAAGTATGGAGGTGAATCAGAGATCACGTGCGCTGGCTGCAGGCTGGAGGGGGGGCGCTTCCCACCTTGCACGACTCTTACACGAAGCCTGAGGTCGCAGGCCTAGAGGTTGACATCAACACCAAGATCGGCAGTGTGCCTCCACCGAGGGAAGACGATCCCGATCTCGGTGATGGTGGCAATATTCTGGCTTCCAAGGTGGCCGAAATATTGCCACCAACACCGAAATCTTGGATCGTCTTCTCCCTGTGGAGGCACCCCCCTGGGCTGGTGCTGGTGCCAATTTCCAGGCCTCCAATGAGGCCGCCGCACTGATCACGAAGTCCTCCGTGACCATCTCCTACGGCCGGACCGGGGTACAAGATCGAGGTCGGATCGGGGAGGCCAGCTCGGTGTTCTTCGTGTCCGTCGGATGTTCTCTTGTGCATCCTGGGAGAGGGCACCCTCGAACGTTCTTCAGGTTGGGCCCGTGGAGGGCCTCACGTTCTTGGAGCATGTTCTTCTGTCCCCGCCTTCCTGTGTCCCCAGTTGGCCGCCTTCCTGTGTCCCCAGTTGGCCGCCTTCCTGTTCTCCTTTTTATGTGGCCGCCTTCCTGTGTCCCCAGTTGGCCGCCCCCCGCGCTCGCTACCGCCGCGACTAAAAAGGGAGGGGGCAGGTGTTAAAGCCATTGGTCTTCAACACCTTTTGGGTTTCATATGAAATCAATTGAACAAAAACGAACTCTTGAGTGACATGATTCCGTCCAAAACCTCTTCCTTCTCGAAAGCCCTTTCCTTCTCCCCCTCCTCACCCCCGAGGCCGCCAGAAAGGGATGGGCAGCGCAGTGAGCTGCAGAAGCAGGGCGGCGGCGGAGAAGGAGGGGAGAGGGAGGACGGAGGGAGGGGAAGGAGAGGGCAGTAGGGGAGAGGGGAGGAGGGGAGGGGAGGGGGAGAGGGAAGGGAGGAGGGAGAGGACGGGAGGGGATAGGGAAGGACGGAGGGAGGGAGGAGGGGAAAAGACCAAAGGGGGAGAGGAACAGGGGTAGGCAATGGGAGCAGGAGCAGGAGGCGGAGGAGGAGGGGAGCGCACGCGGCCTGAGCGGTCTCGGCCCGCTCCTGCGGGCTCAGACCGCTCAGGCCGATTGCCCCCCATCCGCCAGAGGGGGGAGAAGAGAAGGGGCCGGGGAATGAAGAGGTCTCGCGAGAGAGCGAGCGGCGGTCTCGCAGGTCAGGTCAGAAACCGCGCATCATTGAGCTTTGTTGTGAGTAAATCTGTGCGTATATATATATATATATATAGAGATATATGTGTGTATATGTATGCATGTCTACCTGTATATGCACGTGTCGATTCACATGCACATGCATATGTGCATGTACTACATCCAGGTTCGTATATACACAAACCGTCGAACACAGTTACATGAACACACGTCTACCCAGATGCACGATCACGCACATATCTGTACACATATAGACATACAGATATACATAGATGCATGCACGCATACATACACACATACATACAGACATACATACATACCGACAGACAGACAGACAGACAGACATACATACACTTACGTTTCAAGCTCCATGGCGCGCCCTCCGCTCTTGGCTGACCGTGACCCTGGTCTCCAAGTGTGAGATGCGCTCGAGGATTGCTGGATGACCGAGAACGGTGTTGGCGGCGTCGGGGGTGGCGACGAGGAGGGGGAGAGAGGGGCGGGGGAGGACCGAGGCGGAGGGGGGAGGGCGGCGGCGACAAGGATGCTGATTGCAAGGTGCCCCTTCTCTCCGGCGCCGCCCGCCAGGCGCGCGCCCTGGCAGCGGGGATACGGGCGCCCTCATGGATTTCTACGCTTGCGACGGCCTGACGATTTGCGATATCCATTGGCAGCGACGGGCGTTTGGCCTTCCAGGGCATTGCCAGTGCTGTACGCGAGCGACAAGCGGTTCAGTTTGTCTGTTGACCGCCGCTCTTTCATGTTGTCGTTTTGGTTTTCCATCGCCCTTCGGAGTAGTGCCGCCTTTTTTCAAACGTGCATCGTTTCGCTGTGTTTTGAACATGTTCCTCGGCGGTTGGCTGTATTACGTTCGCCAGTGCTTTTGAACAGTGGTCAGGGGCATTTTACGTTTTGCAATGATGTCTAGATTTTCCAGGCGCCCAAAGTGTCCCAACATTTTTGCATTGCTGCCCACAGTTGTCCCAGGCGCCCCAAGTTCTCCCAATTTGTTTCCTGGCGCCCAGGGTTTTCCAGAAGTTGCCCCAGGCGCCCAAAGTTTTGCAAATGTTTTCCCTGGCGTCCGAGGTTGCCGCACGGGTTTCCCGCAGTTTTCGGCCGCTTATCTTCACGAGAAATGAATTCGTTCAGATAAACATCAATGTTCCATAGAATGTATTGTTTCTCACGCGTATTGGAAGGCAAATCACACATTCCCAAATATTCTCAAGATGTGTCATTTGTTTCAAGGACATGTCGAAGATTGTCACCAAAAGCTCAAGCATTCGAAAACTTCCAAAAATTTGTTTCAGAACCCCCCGAACATGTTCATAGGCGGTGCGATCCGCCAAAGGTGCCACCTGGGGTCCTGCTGGGGTCTTGCTGGGCCCCCGTCGGCGCTGGCCAGCCGACTTCGTGATTGCGCGGGGCGGAACATTGCGGAAATTAATGAACAGTTGGGAACATGTTTGGGAATATAGAAAAACCGGCACATGTTTCAAACTTGCATTGGAAAGTATAAGGAATTGCTTCAAAAATAAGCGAATACCTGTTCAAACTCTTCAACGCCGTCTTTACAATAACAACAAGAACTTGTTGTAAAGAACCGAATAACATTGAAAGCGCACGCAAAACATTAAACACAAAAATCACGATCGGAAACGACGGAACAGCCGCGGGAAAATTTTGGGCGCTTAGGGAACTGTTCGAAACATGTGGACGCCTGGCAATCTGTTTGGCAACTTTGGATGCCCGGGAACACATGCTTGAAAACTTTGGGACGCGTGGGAGAACGTTGGGCGGCAGTGTAAAACTTCTGGGAAACTCTGAACGCCTGGAGAATCCCGAAAGAATTGTCAGCGATGAAACGCCCATGACAACTTCTCTAAACCACGGGCAAAAACAGTTAACACCGAATCACATGTTCTAAGCACAGCGAGGAAGATTAACGCTTGAACAAAAATGACACAATTTCGAAGGGCGATGGTGACAGCATCGCTTGTCGCGCGCGTACTGCGCTGGCAATGCCCTTGAAGGGCGAGCGCCCGTTGCTGCTTCCGCGGTTGCGTTTTTTTTTGTTTTGTTTTTGTTCTGTTTTTCGTTTTCATTTATATGTATATATATATACATATACATATGCATATAAAAAACCTGGTCTCGCAAATCGTCAGGCCGTCGCAAGCGTAGAAATCCATGAGGGCGCCCGTATCCCCGCTGCCAGGGCGCGAGCCTGGCGGGCGGCGCTGGAGGGAAGGGGCCCCTCGCAATCAGCATCCTTGTCGCCGCCACCCTCCCCCCTCCGCCTCGGTCCTCCCCCGCCCCTCTCTCCCCCTCCTCGTCGCCACCCCCGACGCCTCCAACCTCGCCCTCGGCCATCCAGCAGGCCTCGAGCGCATCTCGCACTGGGAGGCCAGGGTCACGGTCAGCCAAGAGCGGAGGGCGCGCCATGGAGCCTGAAAGCCATATCCCCATTCCCCTCCTCCAACTGCCCCCCGACCCATTCCAACCCCCCAGCGCCCCTTCTCCCCATCCTCATCCTCGGAGGAAGGGGGGGAGGGAAGAGGGAGTGACGCATAAAGAAAACGAGTGTGCGAGATACTGTGAGTCAACGCCCCCGTTCTTCCCCTTCCTTCTCCTGCTCCCCGCCCCCCGCAATTCTCTTCCTCGGCGCTTCCAGCAGGCCTCCGCCTATGGAATGCTCTTGAAGGCCCTCGTGGAATGTGCGTATCTCTATGACCGTGTTTCACAACGCGTATATCGATTTACTTGGATTCGTCGGCGTGTGACTGTACGTACGCCCATGTATTACATGTGAATATACACGTGCATGTGATCCCCCAGGAGCATCTACATGCACACGTTTGTTTATGTATAAATGCAAATGTATACATATATATATATATATATATACAGATTCATTCGCAAAGCTCACTACTGCGCGGTTCCTATCCTGACTGCGAAACCGCCGCTCGATCGCTCGTGAGACCTCCTCCTTCCCCTTCCCCTCTCCCCCATCTGGTGGAGGGGGAGGGGGGGGCAGTCGGCCTCGTCGGTCTGAGCCCGCGGGAGCTGTGAGAGGCGAACGGTTTGAGCCCGCAGGAGCGGGCCGAGACAGCTCAGGCCGCTTGCGCTCCCCTCCTCCGCCTCCTGCTCCTGCTTCTGTTGCCTTCCCCTTTTCCTCTCCCCCTTTGTCTTTTCCACTCCTCCTCTCCCTCCCCCCCTCTCCTCTCCCTCCCTCCCTTTTCCCTCTCCCCTCCGCCGCCGCCCTGCTCCCGCTGCTCACTGCACTGCCCCTCCTCTTTCCTCGTGGCCTCGGAGGCGAGGAGGGGGAGAAGGATAGTTCTTTTCGAGAAGATGGAGGCTCTGGAGGGAATCAGGGGCTCGTGTCACCCAAGAGTTCGCGAGTACAGGTTCTTTAGATGATTCCATATGGAGCCCAAATAGTTTTGGAGAACCATGGATTTCACAGGGGCAGGTGCTCTGAGGAGGTGCCTGCGGAGGCTCCCAGGGGCAGGGGCCGGCGAAAAGAGCATGCACTTTTTGGCGTCGCGGCCCCGCGCGCGGCGACGGGGCACACCCCGGACCTCCACCTTCCGAACCTTCCGCGCAGCAGGGGCCGCCGCGGCGCGTCCGGGATCTCGACGGCGGCCGCCTCTGCGGCCGCGCTGGCGGCGGTCGCTGCGCGGCACCTGCCGTCCGGAAGGTGCGGAAGGAGGAGGCCGAGTGCAGAAGGTCGGAAGCAGGCAGAAAAGCGACGGTTCGTCGAGCTGGCGGCCAAGGAGGCGGCCTGGGCGTCGGTGGTGTTGTCCCCCGGGGCGGGCGCAAGGCCCGTTGCGGAGACGGCCTGGCGGGCCGTTCTCAGCAGCCACGCTCCGCTACCAGGTCGCGGTGGTGCACTCCTGGCCGAGCACAAAAGAAACGCACGCACACACACAAATACACACACACACACCTGGTTCGGCGTTGTGGCAACGTGCGCTGCGCCGCGACGCGGGGCGAGTCAAGCGCAGGGCAGCGCTTGGCTCGGGCCAGCTCACGCAGCGTGGAGCACCACGTACACACTTGGCTGACACGAACACACACACACACACGCGCACACACACACACACAACCACACACACACACACACACACACACACGCGCGCAAACGCGCAAACACACAAACACGCACACACAACCACACACACACACACGCGCACACACACGCACACTCACACACACACACACACGACACACACACACACACACACACACACGCACACACACACACACACACACACACACGCGCACACACGCACGCGCGCACAACCAAAATCGATCCGCGGGCTCTGGATCACCTTTCTCGATTCCCGTAGCCAGAAGGCCTTGGCCGCAGTGGGAGGTGGCTGCGAGGATGGCGAGTCTCCCAGACCATGGGCGCACTCTGTTTTCTGTTGTTCGCTGGGGAACGGGGGGGGAGGCGCGGGTCCACATCCACGTCCTCCTCCCCTCCTGGCGTTTTGGCATTCTCGCGTGAACCTACAGGCGTTCTACTTCTACTCGCAAGGCGAGAAGTGGGCGAGCGAGCAAACGACACCCTGTCCACCTCCACGACCACTTGCGTCTCTGGCACAGTAAGGGCAGCGTTGAAAGTTATAGTGCAGATCTAGTGGGATGTAGATTTCTGGGGCCTCTGGTGGCATCCCGTGGGTTCAGGCACCGTCTGGGATTCAAGAGGGCAACACATACACACACACACCACAAACAATCGACAACAAGTCGGAGGTTGAGGGGTGAGATCGCAGTGGAACGGAGACCCCCAACCGAGAAATCGTTTCGTTTCGTTCGTGCCGTGCGTGCGGTGCGAGGCGAAGCTGCGTGCGCGCGAAAGAGGAATGAACCTGCCATTTTTAGGGCGAAGTCAAGACAAATGTTTCTCCTCCGTCTGGCGGTGACTCGCGGTTTCCCGCGGTGTCCCGCCGTTGCTAGGGCGAAGTCAAGACAAATGTTTCTCCTCCGTCTGGCGGTGGCTCGCGGTGTCCCGCGGTGTCCCGCCGTTGCTAGGGCGAAGTCAAGACAGATGTTCCTCCTCCGTCCGGCGGTGTCCCGCGGTGTCCCGCCGTTCGTTGCTAGGGCGAAGTCAAGACAGATGTTTCTCCTCCGTCCCGCGGTGGCTCGCGGTGTCTCGCGGCTGCTAGGGCGAAGTCAAGACAAATGTTTCTCCTCCGTCCGGCGGTGGCTCGCGGTGTCCCGCGGTGTCCCGCGGTGTCCCGTGGTGTCCCGTTGAGTGAGATCGGTGGTGAGATCGATGGTGAGATCGATAGTGGGATCGACGGTGCGGCGTCCCGTGGCTTCCCGCGGCTCTTCCGCGGTGTCCCGTGGTGTCCCGTGGAGTGAGATCGATAGTGATATCGATAATGAAATCGATAGTGAGATCGATGTGGTGTCCCGAGGTGTCCCCTGTTGTCCCGTGATGTCCTATGGTCCATGGTGTCTCGTTGAGTGAGATCGACAGTGACATCGATAGTGAGTCCGATAGTGAGATCGAGGTGTCCCGCGGTGTCCCGTGGTGTGCTGTGGTGGCCCGTGGTGTCCCGTGGTGTCCCGCTGAGTGAGGTATCGATAGTGAGATCAATGGTGACATCGACAAGTGTCCCGTGGTGTCCCGTGGTGTCGGTGTCCCGTTGAGTGAGATCGAAAGTGAGATCGATTGTGTCAGATGTTGGTTCCCCCCCTCTTCCCCCCCCACAACCTCCTTATCGCCCGAAGGGTGGTCGTATAGGTATACTTCTGCTCTTCCTCCTCGTTCTGCTCGTGCTCCTGCGTAGTCATTTTGGCTCAAGAGTTGTGTTGGTCCGGGCTCTGGTTTCACAAAGTTGTTGCTTTCTACACGGCCAGCTTTGAGTAATGAGCCTGATGGCTAAGGTCTTGTTGACAGGCTTCTTAACAGCACGCAGCGCCGAAGTGGGGCCTCAAGAGGCCACACAGAGCTTGACCGATCTGAGAGCGTATTTAGCGAAGCATGGCAAAGAAGGCTTGACAATGCCAGATCCTGCAGGCATGCGCCCTGTGCATTGGGCAGCATCCGGGGGCAACATGCAGGTAATGCAAGAGCTTGTCAGACAGGGCGCAGACCCCTGGGATGGCACTGCCACTGCAGAAGAGCGCAACGCGCTGCACATGGCCTGCAGTTCGGGTCATGCCGACATGGTGAAGCATCTGCTGACGGAGCCATTGCTGAAAGTGCGCTCCAGAGGCGCATTCACGAAGAAGCAGGCTGCGGACTCGAGGGATAAGCGGCAGACGCCCTGCGTGCACCTGGCAGCACTCGCTGGTCACGAGGACGTGTTGACCGTTTTGGCGCAGGCAGGAGCGGATCTCCAGGCTGAAACAGAGCGTTCGGGTACACCACTGCATGCTGCTGCGGCGGTTGGCCAGCAGGCGGTTGTTGAGATTCTTGTGAAGCAGGGGGCAGATCCCTGCGCCAAGAACGCAAAAGGGAAGACACCAAGGCAGCGCGCAGAGGACGAAGACATGGACGAGGTGGTTCCCGTGTTGAAGCAAGCGGAGGCGGCCAAGGGATGCGCACCGGCGAAGAAGGAGAAGAAGGATACGAAGAATAAAATGAAGACGGTCACAAAGAAGGAGTTGTGAGTCTACTGCCATCGGCTGTATAGTGTCTGCTCTTGCTCCTCGTCCTCACCCCCGTCTCTCCCTCTGCCTCCCCCTTCCCATCCTCCTTCATCCTCCTTCTTGTCTTCGCCCTTGTCCTCGCCATCCCCTCCACTCTTCGCTGTCGGGCGCTGCTCCTTTTCAGGTGAATTATGTTGAACAGTATGTTTGGTCTCTTCGTTTCGTGTGGCCTCGTCTCCCGAGGCTTTCGCAGGCATCCAAAACTTCCCAGATAATTCTGGGGACCGATGGAGGCTTCCGCAGGCATCCAGAGACTTCCCAGAGACCTCTGGGGACCTGTGGGCGCCGCTCCCGAGCATTACCTCCTCGTGTCTCCTCCCTGCCCCCCCTCCGCGCCATGAGACATGATAGGGTAATTAGGTACACCACGGCATCGGAACACACGCGGGCGCAATGCGCGCATTCCTTCGCCCCTCACCGTCATCGCATCATGCCCTGTGCACTCGGACGACCCGCGAACGCTGAACTCTTTTTCGTTGTGGTTGCTGCTGCTGTTTTTGTTGAACTCTCACTTCTGAAGAATGATTATTGTTGATCCCCCCCCGTCCGGTGCACATTGCTTTTTTCAAGTTGAAGTGCCCTTCCCGGGGCTCGCACCCATTTTTTTACCAGGGAACGTCTTGAGGGTCAAACTGCGTTGTTGGCCCCCGGTTTACAACAACAATGGCTCCCGCTTGGTACGTCTTCACAATGTATTGAAGTATCGCGCTCTCGCTTGGGACTTCCTAGCAATTTGCCATCTGATCGCGTCTCCCGCTTGATATTTCCTTACAAGGTATTGAAGAATCGCGCTCTCGCGTGGGACTTCCTTCAACGTACCTCCGAATCGCGGCTTCCGCTTGATATTTCCGTAATATGTATCCAGATGCCGCTCCTCGACGCTCAGGAGTCGCTTTCCCGCTACATATCGTCTGGCGGTTCAAGCACAATTTACGCTTCAACGACCCGCCCGCTCGAACCGCCCGTCTGGGCCTGCCCGCCCGACCAGCCCGTTAGGGACTGCAGTCGCCGCTCGCTGCCCTTCGCCCGCCTTCGATGCCCCTCGCGGCCCGTACTGGTTCCGCGGTCGCCTTCGCTCGCTGCCCTTCGTGGCCCCGTTGCTGCCGTTAGTGGCCCCGTTGCTGCCCTTAGTGACCCCGTCATTCCCGCAGGTTTTCGGAGCCTGTGGAACTGCATGGTGGTCATCGGGGCCATTCCGAGGGCCCCCAGGGGTCATAGGAGGCTTGCGGGTGCCTTCCAATCCCCCCGCGCCTTGTTTTCGCACCAGTCGCCGCTCGTACCCACCCACCAGTCCCCGTTCTTCCCCAGTCTTCTTTACTCTTACCCTTTATCTTCATTGCATGTCGTTCGTATTCCATTGTGCTATTCCTCAGTTCTTCGCACTCCGACCATTCCTCCCCAGGCCACCCCATCCCACCCCAACAATATCCACCCTTCCCCGCTCGCGTTCCGCATCTCCCCCAAGTTTTTCCAAGTCCCTCCTCCAGATTCCCCCGTGCGCCCCCCGCTCCTCCGCACTCCTCCCGGTTCCTCTTCTTCACTCCTTGCCGCTCCTCTTCTTGAGACCCTACTCTTGCCCGCTCCATCCCAATCCACTCCACATCCCCGCGCTCCTCTCGACGCGGTTGCCGTTCTCGCGATCCTTCCGCCCCACTCTCCCAATTTCCCGCTTCTTTTCAGGGTTCCACGCAATTTGTTTCTGACACCAATTCGCAATTGTACGGCCCTCCTTGTGGGTATTTATGATCTGTTCTTTCAAAGGGGGTGGTGCGTGGTGCTGTTTATGGCGCGACTCATGGCGAAACACGCGAGCACGAGGCAGACCACCGCTGCAATGGATAGATGACTTCAGACAGTTCTGCGCGCACGTCGGCGCAGATTCTCCGGAACAGGCGCTGCAAACGTTGGGGAGGGAGAAGCAGTACATCGAGTTCTGCATGATGAAGGTGTGATGCCCCTCCCCCCCTTTCCCCTCCCTTCTCCCTCCCTCCCTGCCCCTCCTCTTCTGCATTTTTCCGATTTCCCAATTCCATTTCTGTTCATGTCCCACAAATTTGTTGTCTGGCTGGTAGACTGATTGCACACCCATGCCCTGCACAGGGCCGAGCAGCCGGCAGGCATGCTCGAGTGGTTCGCTCGCTCGCCATGGCGAATCATTGTGTTAACTTGTGTTGGAGTGGCTGTCGCAAGCCATGGCGCAAGCCGAATCGCCAACCACAGCGCAAATCATCCTCTTTTCCCTTCCTCCTCTTCTCCGTCGTCCTCATTCTCCCACACTACGTGTTGCCCTTCGTTTTCAAGGGCTTCACCAACCACGCGTGGCAGGGAACGAAAATACCCTCCAAAAGGGGATACGATCGAAGACGAAGAGGGCGTGTGTCCAGGGTTTGGGGATATGCATATCGAGTGACACGCGAGCAAATAAGGGCGAACAGTCTTACAATGATTGTTGCTGTTGCTGTTGTTTATTGTTGATGGACGCGTGACCCACTCGCCCTGCCCCCCCCGTCCCCCCCCCCCCGCAGCCAGCAACCGAAGTTTCATTTCGGCGCACCCCTCTCGTGGCCCTGGCGCCACAGGGGGGCTCCACCGAAGGTTCATTGCAGCACACCCCTCTCGAGGACCGTGGTCTTGGCTTCACAGGAAGCTCCACCGAAGGTTCATTACGGCACACCCTTTTCCAGGATCGCGGCCCCGGCCACACAAAGGGCTCCACCGAATGTTCATTGCGGCACACCCCTCTTGAGGATCGTGGCCTTGGCCCCACAGGGAGCTCCACACCCCTTTCGAGGATGTTGGCCCTGGCCCAACAGGGGGCTCCACCGATGGTTCATTTCAGCACGCCCCGCTCGAGGATCGTGGCATTGGCTTCACAGGGAGCCCCACCGAAGGTTCATTTCGGGACACCCCTTTCGATGATCGTGGCCCTGGTCCCACTGGGAGCTCCACCGAACACTGATTCCTGCGCACCCCTCCTAAGGATCGTGGCGCTGGCCCCACAAGGAGTTCCACTGAGGCTCCATTTCGGCACACCCCTCTCGAGGATCGTGGCCGTGGCCCGACAATGAGCTCCACCGAGGGATCATGTCGGCACACCCCATCCAAGGAACGCGGCCCTGGCCCCTCCAGGGAGCTCCACCAAAGGTTCATTTTGGCACGCCCCTCCCGAGGATCGTGGCCCTGGCCTCACGGAGGGCCCCTCCGAAGTTTCATTTCGGCACAACCCTCAAGGAGGATCGTGGCCTTGGCCCCACAAAGAGCTCCACCGAATCGTCATTTCGTACACCCCTCTCGAAGATCGCGGCTTTGGCCCCACAGACGGCTCCACCGAATCGTCATTTCGGCACACCCCTCTCGAGGATGGTGGTCATGGCCGTACAGGGAGCTCCACCGAAGGTTCATTTCGGCACACCCCTTTCGAGGATCGCGGCCCTGGCCTCACGGAAAAACCCTCTCGAGGATGGTGGCCTTGGACCGACAGGGGGCTTCATCGAAGGTTCATTTTGGCACACCCTCTCGAGGATCGTGGCCCTGGCCGCACAGGGAGCTCCACACCCCTCTCGAGGATCTTGGCCTTGGCCCCAAAAGGAGCTCCACCGAAGTTCCATTTCAGCACGCCCCTCTCGAGGATCTTGGCGTTGGTTTCACAGGGAGCTTCACTGAAGATTCATTTCGGCACAATCCTCCTGAGGATCGTGGCCCTTGCCCCATAGAGAGCACCACTGAAGCTTTATTTCGGCAACACCCTGTCGAGGATCGTGGCCTTGGCCCCACGGGGAGCTCCACCGAAACTTTATTTCCGCGCACCCCTCTCGAGGACTGTGGCCCTGGCCCTACAGGGAGCTCCACCGAAACTTCATTTCGGCACACCCTCCTCGATGATCGTGGCCCTGGCGCCAATGGGAGCTCCACACACCACTAAAGGATCACTGCCCTGGCTCCACAGGGAGCTCCACCGAAGGATCATTTCAGCACACCCCTCTCAGGGATCGTGGCCTTGGCCCCACGGGGAGCTCCACCAAAGGTTCATTTCGGCACAACCCTCTCGAGGATCGCGGCCCTGGCCCCGCAGGGAACTCCACCGAAGCTTCATTTCATCGCACCCCTCTCGAGGATCTCGACCCTGGCCCCACAGGGAGCTCCACAAAAGCGTCATTCCAGCACACCCCGTTCGAGGATCGTGGCCCTGGCCACACAAAGAGCCCCACCGAATATTCACTGCGGCACACCCCTCTCTATGATCGTGGCCCTGGCCCCGCAGGGATCTCCACCGAAGCTTCATGTCGGCACACCCCTCTCGAGGATCGTGGCCCTGGCTCTACAGGGAGCTACACCGAAGCTTCATTTCGGCACACCCCTCCTGAGGATCGTGGCCCTGGCCACATAGGGAGCTCCACCGAAGGTTCATTTCGGCACACCCCTTTCGAGCATCGCGGCCCTGCCCTAACAGAGGGTTTCTCCGAAGGTTCATTTCGGCACATCCCTCCTGAGGGTCGTGGCCCTGGCCTGGCCCCATAGGGAGTTCCACCGAAGCTTTATGTCGGCACGCCCCTCTCGAGGATCGTGGTCCTGTTCCCACAGATAGCTCCAGCGAAGCCTCATATCGGCAGAACTCTCTCGAGGATCGCGGCCGTGGCCCGACAAGGCGCTCTTCCGCGGGTTTATGTCAGCGCACCCCTCTCAAGGATCGTGGCCTTGGCCCCACATGGAGCTCCACCGAAGGTTCGTTTCGGCACACCCCTCTCGAGGCTCGTGGCCCTGGCCCCACAGGGAACTCCACCGAAGCTTCATTTCGGCGCACGCCTCTCTAAGACCGTGGCCCTATGCGATCCTATAGGGTCGTATGGGAGTCCTATACGATTACAACAGGATCCCATAGGATCGTATAGGTGTCCTATTGGATTCCGATAGGGACGTATAGAAATCATGTAAGAGACCCACAGCTTCATCCGATAGGATCCGATAGGATCGCAGGGGGGTCCTATACAAGCCCTTTACGTTTCCCATAGGATCCTACAGAATCGCATGATTCCCATGAAATCTCTACAAGCTTTCTATGCGATCCTACAGTATCGCATGGGATGTCTATATATATATATATATACATGTATATGTATATATATATATACCCCACACGATCCCTATATGATCCCTATAGGACCTTGTAGGATCGCACAGGATCCCTATAGGATCCCCGCAGAATCCGACCGGATCGCAAGAAATTCCCATACAAGTCCTATAGGATTCCGATAGTATCCGATAGGATCGCATGGGATGCCTATACAAACCGTATACGATTCCTACAGGATCCTACAGGGTCGCATGTGGATCTTACAGGATCGCAGAGGATCCCTATAGGCTCCCGATCGGATCCCCATAATATCCCCGCAGGATGCCTATAGGATCCCTATAGGATCCCCTTAGGAGCCTTATAGGATCCTTATCGGATTCCTGTAGGTTTCTATTGGATCGTATAGGAGCCGATAGATTTCGGAGCTTCGCTGGTGCAGACATGTGAACATTGCATGAAGGAGGAATTCACACCCTTAAGCAAGCGAAATGACAGCGGAGCGAGGAATGGAGTCTGACGTTGCTGGCTGCTGGTTGCCAGGGGGGGGGGGACCCCGGGGGGCAAGGTTGCGGGTTGTCCTTTAAGGTCAATCATTGACCAATTCTTTCCCGTTGAACGGGCGACAAGATCACGTGTCAACCTTGTTGTTGTTGTTGTTGTTGTTGTTGTTGTTGTTGTTGTTGTAGGTGTAGGTGTAGGTGTAGGTGTAGGTGTAGGTGTTGGTGTGTGTGTGTGTTTGTGTTTGTGTGTGTGTGTTACAGCACGTTTGCCTTGGCCCGTCGTCGCCGTCACCGTCACCGTCACCGTCGTCCGACCAACATCCGCTGAAGATCGATGCTCGGACCGACCCCTAGCCTCTCGAGGTGTCAGCGCCGCTGCCAGCGTTTCGCAAGACAGCGGCCCGGCTCGGGCTGCCCAGGGACTCCAGGATCTCGGCGCCCTCGGCGGCCTCCGAGGTCCGCCCCAGGACGCCCTCGCTCTGAAATTGCATCAAACGTGCTGCGTTTGGAGCGGAATCCAAACTGCGTCGGCCTGATAAGCTCTTCCACCCCGCTGTGTTGAATTCGTGTTTTGCAGCATCCATGCCAATAATTACTTGGTATCCCACTGTTTATAAGGAGATTGGGCGGTACCTGTCTGGTAATCCCGCGTCGCCTTGGCAGTATTCCGTTATGCAGCTTTCCAGTATTGCAGGTTTCCATTCTGTATTGTATTACCACCTTTGCAGTGTCCCATTCTTTCGGCATTCCACGCATAGCGATGAGAAAAAAAGAGACGGCCATGGTAGCTTCCAAGACGGCCCTGACGCGCCCCGAGAGGGACCCAGATCGGCTCAGAGAGGCCCCCAAGACGGCTTCCGACGGCGTCAGACGGGCAAGGAACGCCCTCAGACGGCCAAAGAGGCCCCCAGGAAGCCCTGAAAAGTCCCGAAGAGGCCCACGGAGGCCCCCTCGAGGCCTCCAAACGGCCTGGAGCCCACGAGGCCGACGGCGGCGGCGCGAGGCGGGCGAGCACCCGGCGGCGTCCCCGCTGCCTCTCCCGCGCGCCCCGCCCCGCGGAGGGAGGCGCACGGGCGGCTTCCGCGGCCGCCGAGGGCTGGCCTCCGCGCGTCTTCCCCGGACGCCCCTCGGCGAATGGCAGGGCGCAGCCGCCCGAAGCCGGCAGCCCCGGCGATCGCCGAGGAAAGTGCCCGGAGGCTTCCCTCGAGCCTCGAGCCCGGGGGCGCGCGAGCGGCGCCGAGCCCCGCGGCCCACCGCGCCTGCCGCGGCCGCCGAGGGCTGGCCTCCGGGCGTCTGCCAGCTCGGCTCACCGGCACCCGCCGTGGATGTGTGGATCGGCTGGCCAGGGCCTCGAGGCCCAAGGGCTCCTCCTCCTCCTCCTGCTCCCTCCTCCTCCTGCTGCTGCTCCTCCTCCTCCTCCTCCTCCTCCTGCTCCCTCCTCCTCCTCCTCCTCCTCCTCCTCCTCCTCCTCCTCCTCAGTCTCCTCGTCCTGCTCCTCCTCCTCCTCCTCTCCTCCTCCTCCTCCTCCTCAGTCTCCTCGTCCTCCTCCTCCTCCTGCTCCTCCTCCTCCTCCTCCTTCTCCTCCTCCTCCTCCTCCTCCTCCTCCTCCTCCTCCTCTTCCTCCTCGGGGACTCCCGGACGGGGTCGGAGTAGATGGGGTCCGGGGATCGCGCCGCCTCGCCGCTGCATCGGCGATGCGGCTCGATGCGGAGCCCGATTTTTCACAGCGCGGACGTCGCCGACGCCTCGCCGACGTCGCCAGTGCACGGCCGATGCGTCGCCGACGCAGCAGCGATGCATCGCCAATGGATCGGCGATGCGGCGAGATGCTCCGACCCCACCTACTCGGACCCCATCTGGGAGGTCTCTATTAACGCCATCCTCTGTTGTGAAGCTCACCGCCCACCAAACCACCCCAACCGCAACCCATCCCGAAGGCCCCAAGTTGCCCTCCATTTCCACTTGGGGGGGCTCGAGGAACACTGAGAAACCACACGTGAAGCCCGTACCCCCCCCCAACCCGACATTCGGGCCTTCGGGTCGGGTTGGGTTAGTTTGGTACTCCAGATTTCGTAATAAAGGGAGGGGGGTCTCATTTCGGGGGGGGGGGTCTCTTCCAGGCTATCTTGGAGGGCCTGGGGGGGTCTGGGGACGAGGTTTTGGAGGGTTCTCCCACGGGGGAGGGGGTCTGAAATGGCTTGTCTTGGAGGGTCCAGACCCCCTCCCTTTTGTTACGAACTCTGGGGTAGATAGTCAGACGCTTCGCTTCTGCTCCGATTCCGATTCCGACGCCACCGGCCCGTCGGCGTCGTCGCCGTCGGCGCCGCCCTCGCGGCCCGAGCGCCGCGCTTGCGGGCCCCCGCTCCGCCCACGGCGCACCGCGCCGCCCTGGCGCGTCGGCGGCATCGGCGGCGTCGTCGTGCGTCGTGGACCGGCGTCGTCGTCAGGGTGCGTCGTCGGCTGACGTCGGCTGACGTCGGCGCGTCGTACGTCGCACGGCGTCGTGCGACGGCGTCGCACGGCGTATCTAGTCCTCGGCTCAGTGCGTCGTCGAGCTCGTCGAGCTCGGCGTCGTTGTCGTCGCCGCCGCCGCCGCCGCCGTCGTCGTCGTCGTCGACGTCGTCGTCGTCGTCGTCGCTGTTGGCGTCGTCGGCTGCGGGCCCCCTCTCGGGGGGCACCAACTATGCACCTACACCGGTCCTGGGCCCAGGTTCGGTGCATCTGCCCTTCTGCCCGGGCCAAGAGGGCGCACGCACCGATCCTGAGCCCAGGATCAGCCGGGCCAGGATTGGTGTGCAGGTGTGCAGCCCATGCCCTCCTACCCTCGGGCCCTTCCCGGATCGCGGCGGCGCCCCGCCGATGACGGTGTCGTGCAACGTCGTCGTCGTCGTCGTCGTCGTCGTTTATCGTCGTACGTCGGCGTCGTCCGTCCTCGTACGTCGTCGTCGTCGTCGTAGTCCGTCGGGGTCGCGCGTCGCCGTCGCCGTCGACGTCGTCGTCGTCCACGTCGTCGTCGTCGTCGTCGTCGTCGTCGTCGTCGTCGTCGTCGTCGTCGTCGTCGTCGTCGTCGTCGTCTGTCGTCTGTCGTCGTCGTCCTCGTCCTCGTCCTCGTCCTCGTCGTCCTCGTCGTCGTCGCCGCCCATCGTCGTGCGACGGCGTCGCGCGCCGGCGCCTCGTCGATGGCACCAGCGGGCCCCTCGTGGCGGGCACCCCGCCCAGCGGCGGCGGCCCTGCCCCGGCTGCTGCTCGGGCTGGGGCTGGGGCTGGGCGGGCCGGGCGCGCCGCTGCGGCCGGCGGGCGCGAGCATCGAGGACATTGCGAAGGAGCCCTCGGGCGCCTCGGGGCCAGACAATGATCGCGTCGTGAAGAGAATCAGGACGGCAGGTTTTCCCGCTCGTTTCGGCCCCTGGGGGCGCCTACCGGGCCTCGGGACCGTCAAAAAACGACTCGGGAGGAACGCCGGCCCCGGGGAAAGGGTCTGGACTTCCGGGAACGCGGTTCTGAAAAAATCAGGACGTCGCATGTTTGGGGGGATATCGCCAGGGAGAGGCCCAGCCTATCGCGGGAAATCGCCGGGAGGGGGCCCAGCCCATCCAGGAACAGCGAGGGTGCATCGCGAAGGTTGCCTTCGGGTGCATCGCGCAGGAGCCCTCGGGCGCATCGATCGAGAACGAAGAAGCAACACACATGAGGTGCTCGATAATGGGCTCCTTGTTGCCTGCAGCTGTCCAGTTTTGGCGCAGAGGACCGCCGAAGACGGGCGGATGCCGCGGAGAACCGCCGAAGACCTCCACCGACCGCCAGAAACCACCAGAGACCGCCGAAGACCGCCGAAGGCCCCTGGGTAACGAGGGGGTCAGTGAGCTCAGCGTGGATGTTTTGGAAACTTTCGGAGCTCAGCGTGGATTTTTTGGACCTGCGCTGGGCCCCCCTGGCGTCGCCTCTGGCGCCGCCCCTGGCGCGCTCCGCTCGCCAGGGAGCGGGCCCAGCGCCAATCCACGAATTTCGCGCGGACCTCCGAAAGTTTATGCTGGTGCCGTTTTTAAGCCTTTACTCGTGCACATCGGTGCTATCGAGGCCGCGAGGACGTCGCGAAGACATCGAGGACACTGCGAAGGATCCCTCGGGCGCATCGGGGATATCGCGATCAAGTCGAAATACACCTCGACCCGCAGCAGTATAGTTGCGGTTCGAAACTAGTTGTTCGATTGTAGCTCGAGCTAGCGACCGATCCCAGCGCTCTCGCGTTCGCAGGCGGATGCTGTCGACGATACCTGCTCGAATGCCGCTGCGGAGCCCTTGGGTGCATCGAAGGTATCGGGGATGTCGTGGTGTCGCGGAGCATCGAGGATGTCGCGAGGACACCGCGAGGTTATCGAGGATATCGCTAAGGAGCCCTCGGCTGCATCGAGCATATCGAGCGTGGTCGCTATATGATGTCGCGACGGAGCCCTCGGGTGCATCGAGGATGCAGCAGGTTCCAGTCGTGTCGACTCGGTGGAGACCCCAGCGCGGGAGTTCAAGGGTGAGCGCCGACGGTGTCCACGAATCGGCCAAGGCGGAACGACCTCGCGATCGAAAATTCTGAACGATCCACGCGGTGTCAGAAACTGACGCCGCGGTCGTCGCGGCACGAACCCGCCGTATGGAGAATGTCCTAATGGTTAGGAGCATCGAGGATATCGCGAGGGCGTCGCGAGGACATCGAGGACATATGATTCCGGGCCGAGGGTTCACAGCCCCCCCCAGATGAGATGGGCCCCAGGGTTCTACAGGCCCCCCACCCCGAATGGGAGGGGGGTGCGACAGCGACGACGACGACGACGACAACGTTGGCGACGACGTTGATGACGACGACGACGACGACGACGACGACGACGACGACGACGACGACGACGACGACGACGACGACGACGACAACGGCACCGCAGCACCACCCCACACCCACGGGGGGAGGGGTGGGGGCACTGCCACGCCACATCCACAGGGCCACGACAACATGGGGGGGAGGGGTGATCCCATTCGCGAGGCATTCGCGAGGCTCACCGCACGGTCGTTCCCATCCAGCGCGGAACGCGGGTGGGGGCCGGATTCAATGAGCATTTTGTGTGGGGGGGGGCCCAGAGTCCTGGATCATATATCGCGAGGAGACTGTGGATGGGGGAGGGAGGCGAGAGGGTAGATCAGCCGGGAGGAGGCAGGAGACAGGAGGAGGCAGGACGGATGGGGGAGGATGGAGGATGAGGAGGGATGGAGGGAAGGAGATGGAGGAGGAGGAGGAAGAGGAGGAAGATGACGAGGTAGGAGGAGCAGCAGCGAGCATAACGAGCAGGCTCGAGGAGGAGGAGGAAGAGGAGGAGGAGGAGGAGAGGAGGAGGAGGAGGAGAAGGAGGAGTTTCGAGGAGATCTCGAAGGAGCCGCGGCTCTTCCCGATGCGTTTCCGCTGACTCGGCCTCTGGGGATCCTCTGTAAGGCCCCGAGGCCGTGGGAAACATGGCATGGTGGACCCCATGAGACCATACGTGTGCTTTTGGACGTAGTTAGCCCTTCTTGACCTCCAGGAAACCGCCAAGGGCTTCCTGGGACCCCCCGGAAGCCTTCAGGAACCCCTGGGAGCCCTCAGCCCGCAGTCCTAAGCCCTCAGTCGTCGATGTATCGGGGATCTTCGGCGGGAGGTTCTCGGGGCGTTTGGGAGGTCGGGGCTCATTCCCGCAACTCGAGCTCGACGTGAGCTGTGCGACGGAGGCACTTTGTCTGCTGTTTTCGCTCTGCTGTGCCCCAAACGACCAGACACCCCCTTGAAGGGGTCGAAGGGGGTTTGCGCCACCCCTATGTGGAGGCACACTTTTCCTTTCCCCGCTTCATGTTGGGGTGGGGTCAGCAGGTGCACCTCGTGTGCTCCCCACGGTGTCTATTTTGGTCGTATTACCTTGGAAGCCTGTCAGTCGGCCCAGGAGTTTGGGGCCTATGAGCTCACTGACGAGATGCTCAAGAAGTCGGCAGAGCAGGAGGCTGCCGACCAGAAAAAGATGGACGAGTACAAGGACCCCACTGACCTGCTCAAGAAACGCGGACTGGACATAACCGAGGGCATGGCGGATAGGATGAAGGCCCGTGAGGACTTAGTCCAGGAGGCCATGGACGAGACAGTAGCAGCTGCGACCGAGCTGGCCATGTACCAGCAGGTTCCGTGCGACATCTGCAGGTCTCTTATTGAGGTGTTCGCCGATGATCTGAAGAACAGCTGGAAGTCTTCTTGGAGTGAAGAGAAGACGCTGTCATACGTCCAGGGTTTCTGCGAGTCTGGCAGTCTTCCTGGCGAATTCCAGGTGGTGGCAAGAAAAAGAGATGAGGGAAAAAGAGAGGAGGGCCAGAAGGAGGCCGTGTATTTCGTAAACAAAGACATGAAGGGCGTGAAGGTGTTCACGACCAAGAACTCCGAGAATGTGTTCAGAAGAGTGTGTCGTGAGGAAGTGGACGAAAACGATCAAAGACTGGCAGACGTCGCCAAAGCCGCGCTCGAAAGCAAAGACAAAGACCTCAAGATGGCCATCGGCAGGATCATGTGCAAGAAAAAATGTAAGAAGCAGGCTAAGAAG